CAAGTTTCACACATTGTGGTGCCATGATCTGAGCCAGGGCAATCTGATTCTGAATTTAATTTCCAGGAACAAACCACAGGGAAAACTTCTAAACAGTAGGACAGACAGTAAAAGGAAATGCCTAGGATTGCTCTTTCTAAATCCACAACATTTCCCAATGAAAAAAGTATTATGGTATAATTACAGTTCCATAAAACAATGTGCTCTCTATATAATACGAATACCAGCAAAATAAAGAGACTACCTTAAAATTGTAAATCAAGGGACATAGTCGCATCACTGAGCTACAACTGGATTTTTCCTGAAATTTGTTAGATAATCCCACAATTGCCAATTTCGCTGTTTGTTGAGCTCTGGTCTTGGTTTCAAATTTTAAAATTTCACTGTCTAACAAAATGAGTTCCATGTCCCTAGGGTTGGGTCAGGGAAACAATGTTTTTCTCTGTTCCCACCCCATGTGAGCTATGACAGTAACACATTGCATGAAAGGATCCAGAAGCTTAAAGTAAGAGGGGAAAAAAAGTATGTGGGAGGGGAGCAGGATGAAAAGATTAAAATATTTTCTAACTCACTCATTTGAGGCAAACAGGTTTTGTATATATCCAAGGCACTGAGCACAATCCAATTTCAATTGATATTAATTATTCAGGACTACTACTACTAAGAAACTGAACTTTCAGTTCTATATTTGTTGGATAGAAAATATTTACAATACAGTTACAAAGGAGGAGGAAAATAAAACAAATAAATCAACATGGTTAGACACTGACAAAGGATTGTTGACTGGGAATGAAATATGTAACACTCTGTCAACAAGGCTTCTCATACCTTAAAGGAATTTTATACGTATTCCCTTCCTGTTAACCATTATATGTTTCGAGTTCCTCTTTCTCCTGACACTGTCAAAAAATCTTTTTCTTTAACATTTTCCCAGTAATCCATTTATTCCTAAAATTTCAGCGACATTTTAGAAAGAAATCCAAACCGCAGTTCAGGTTAACATCGATACAGGCACTCCCTCTTGTGGTACAAAAGGAAATTGCCTGTTTACTCCAGCACTCAAGCCCAGGAAGTCCTTTGAGTTTCAGCGCACCGCAGCAGGTTCTTCATTGTCTTCATTTTATAGACCAGGAAACAGCACAACTGCGGTCAAGCAACTTACTTCCTCAAGGCATCACAACCAGAGAACTGCGATTCGGCTCAGAAGTCTGATATTCCAAGGCCATGCACTTTGCACCACACCTGGTGACCTACAGCATCTATTCACCAAGTTCTTTTCATTACCAAATTTCCAAGAATACATGGAAAGCAGGTAGCGACCACTGCATATTACTAAAAGATGTATTTAATGCAATAAGAAGAGTCTAATTTTAAACTTTTACTGTTTTGATGTAGTTTCAAAGCAGCTGCTTATTTCAGTTTAATATATTCATGATCATTAATGAAACAGCAAAGTGAATAATGGGCATAAATTTTCCTAAGGAGAATCATTTTCCATATTTTTCAATATTATCAAAAAGCATGTAAATAGAATTTTTTTTTTTTTTGAGACAGTCTTGCTCTGTTGCCCAGGATGAAGTGCAATGGTGCAATCTTGGCTCATTACAACCTCCGCCTCTGGGGTTCAGGAGGTTCTCCTGCCTCAGCCTCTCACGTAACTGGGATTACAGGTGTGCACCACCATGCCCAGCTAATTTTTGTATTTTCAATAGAGACGGGGTTTCACCACATTGGCCAGGCTGGTCTGGAACTCCTGACCTCAGGTGATCCGCCCACCTTGGCCTCTCAAAGTGCTAGGATTACAAGCATGAGCCACTGTGCCCAGCCATAAATGTAATTTTATTTTGTGTGTTATGGACCTACTTGTAACCAAAGCACTTCTTTAAAAGACAAGACAAATAATTAAAATTTCCAAAAGAACAAATTGTCATCCTTATTTATATGTTAAGGTCAATGGATCTGAATTTAAAAATTTATGCTTTGTGTTAATGGCATGTCATAAAATTTCAAAATCTGCTGATTCCCAAACACCTGTTTTACTTATCTTCATCATGAATTTATATGATTAAAAGTACCTCCTTTACAGGGTGGTTTTAAAAGTTAAGTGAGCTAATACAAGTCAAGCACTGGTTAGTCTTTCATAAAATTCACCCTTTTTATCTTCCTTGTACCAGAGAAATATAAAGATGTACTCCCACAAGTGGTAAAAACACAGAGGGAAGAGGGTAAGCAGAAAAAATAATTATCAAAAGGAACTACTAAATTCTTCAATGTGACAGGATTTCAGGTGAAAGATTTTTCCATTCTGTAAATGCCCCAAAGTGTCCCATGGGGATTCCACCTGTAAAAGTGAGACAGATGGCCAGGTGCGGTGGCTCACCCCTGTAATCCCAGCACTTTGGGAGGCCCAGGTGGACGGATCACAAGGTCACGACATCAAGACCATCCTGGCAAACATGGTGAAACCCCGTCTCTACCAAAAATACAAAACTTAGCTGGGCATGGTGGCGTGCAACTATACTTCCAGCTACTTGGGAGGCTGAGGCAGAAGAATCGCTTGAACCTGGGAGGTGGAGGTTGCAGTCAGCCGAGATTGCGCCACTGCACTTCGGCCTGATGACAGAGCAACACTCCATCTCAAAAAAAAAAAAAAAAAGGTGAGATACACTACAGCCCATGATGCTGCCCAACCACAGTTGGCCAAGACCTTGCTAGCTGCCCCTTTCTGCCTGACACACCACGTGTGTCCCCCCCAGAGCTGGGCCACGGGACAAAGAGGATCAGCTTTAAAGTTCAATCAAATGCAGGCTGCATTCCCCTGATCAAACCTCCAAGTGAATTCCTGGTTTCCCAAATCAATAAGCAAAACAACCAGACATGACCTCTGAGTATTTTGTATTCCCCACCTCAGCGAACTCCCTACCACTGGCTGAGAAGGCCGAAGCAGAAGCTGGACTAATCCTTGACTCCTTTTTCTCCTATATTCTCCCTATCCTTCCAGTAAAAAGGGAGTATCACTCCCAGTCACTGAATCTCTTGACTCTGTCCTCTCTTCTTTAACCCCAATGCTACAGCTTTAGATAAAGTCCTTACCAACATCTTGCAACCTGGTTAACAACCAAGTCCTATTCATCCCTCTGAACCCGGCTCTTCCATGCCCTCCTGCAAGGCCTTCCCCAGCCCCTCTCTATGGATACCCCTCCTCCCTTTTGAAGCAGGCTGGATACCAGCTCTGCCCCACCACCACGCCTCTTTTATCCTTGTGGGTGGGTATGTCTTTATTTTCAGGGTGCCTGGCACATATGAGTGTTCCACAAATCTTTGTGTTGAATAAGGGATTTGCTTTTGAGGGAAGGAAAAGGAGAAAAAGTACAATTTGGTTAACTAGCTGGTACTTTATTTGGAAAAAATGCTTCATGAATTTCAGTTTATGAATGGGTTGTTTCCAAAATACATTTTTTTCCATTTGTATAAACTTGGGCAGAATCATGGACAGGATAGGATGTTCCAGGATCACTGCATTTTCATTAAAATTAGGTAAATGTCTAACTGAAAAATGCCCACTTTTACCTAAGTAAGTAAAATTCAGTCTCCTATTTTATATATGGGGGCATTCAGGGGCAAAGGTGTGAGGTCACTCACCCCAGGGATAACCGATTCCTGGTCTGGTGCAGAAAATGGCTAGACCCGGCTGGGAAGCACTCCAGGAGGAGAGGTCTCTCTGCTTCACTTCCCCAACATGCAAGGATCTTATGCTCAGATTACCTGATGTCTCTACATCATAATATGGGACTTGGGGTCAGGCAGGTGGACACCCAGGCCTAGAAGCAAAGGTGTTAAGCCACCATCAGTTTCCTTTCTGAAGAACTAAAAGGTGAAGGATAAGGCCAGGCACAATGGCTGAGGCCCATAATCCTAGCATTTTGAAAGGCCGAGGAGGGTAGCTCATTTGAGGGCCAGAGTTCAAGACAAAGCTTGGCTGGTATAATGAAACCCCATCTCTAAAATTAAAAAAAAAAACAAACAATTTTTAAAAGGCCGGGCATGGTGGGGTGTGCCTATAGTCCCAGCTACTTGGGAGGCTGAAGCAGGAGAATCACTTGAACCTGGGAGGCAGAGGTTGCATGATCTTAGGATCATGCCATTGCACTCCATCCAGCCTGGGCTACAGAGTGAGACTCTGTATCAAAAAAATAAAATAAAAAAGTGAAGGATAACCTACCACCATAAATTTGAACTACTTTACACAAAGAGATTATTAATCCAAGAAACATATTTTCCAGTGAGGAGGGGTGTGTTAATAGCTATTTAACAAAAAACCAATCTTTTGACAAATCATATGCAAGGGAAATAGAGCTATTCCTGGTCCCCAAATTCTGGGAAAAACAAATAACGCTGTTTTACAATTAGAATCCAAAAAGCATTTGGCACAGAACATGGATTCAGTGAACCTCACCAGAGCATTCCAAAGCAGTGTGTTACAATGAAATCAGTACCATAGTTCCATTCCTTGAACAGTCATCTTAAAGAGAATTCGAAATTTTGAGCGGCCACCCACAGTTAGTGGCTTTCTTGAGGTATAATTTGTATGTCATGAAAATGATCCATTTTAAGTATACAATTCCACGTTTTCATAAGATTTATACACAACTATTACCAGGCACATTTCCAACACCCAAACCAATCCCCCATGCTCCTACCCCACACCCAAGCAAGCACCGATTTGATCTGAGGTTTTTGCCTGTTCTAAAAGTTTCATATCATGGTATCATACAATATATAGCCCTTTCACTTGGCGAAATGTTTTCGAGGCTCCACCATATTGCAGTATGTACCCGAGAAATGAATGAGAACTTTATTCCTTTTCATGGCTGATATGGACATACCAAGTTTTGTTTATCTATTCACTGGCTGATGGATTTAGATTGTTTTCCAGTTTTTGTCTACTGTGAATAATGCTGCTATGAACATCTGTTTGGCTTTTGAATGGACAGTTGTTGTAACTTTACTGAGTTACCGTTGCTATACAATAAATTGCACATATTTAAATATACAATCTGATGAGTTTTCACATATGTATACAACCATGAAATCATGCATAATCAAGATAGTGAATATATACATCACCCCCAAATGTTTCATTGTGCTCTTTCCTTTGGACTCCCTTTCTGCCTCCTGTCCCAAGCCATCCTCTAATCTGCAGGCACTGAATTACTGCTACTACAGATTAGCTTGCATTTTCTAGAATTTCACCTAGATGGAGTCAGTATGATATTTTGTAGGTAAAGGTGTCTGGCTTCTCTCACGCAGCATATTATCATTTTGTGATGCATACATGTTGTTGTATGTTATCAACAATCCATTCGTTTTCATTATTGACGGCTATACCACAATTTGCCTATCCACTTATCTGCTGACAGACACATAAATTAGTTCTAGTTTTCATCAATCACAGCTAAAGCTGCTATTTTAACTACATCAGACCAATCTCGTTCATCTCTTCTGTAACAAAGTTGTGAGTTGTTTTTCAGTTGCCATGGGCCCCCAGGTTGAACGTCAGGTAACCTGAGCATGACCAAATAAACCAAGCATGCAACTACTGGGGCAACCTAAATGATCAACCAAGGAGAGGGGACTGAATTAAGAAGTGGAAGCTGGGCACGGTAGCTCATTAATCCAAGCACTTCGGGAGGTCGAGGTGGGCAGATCACCTGAGGTCAGGAGTTCAAGATCAGCCTGGACAACATGGCAACACCCAGTCTCTACTATAATTACAAACATTAGCTGGGCATGGTGGCGGGCGCCTGTAATCTCAGCTACTTGGGAGGCTAAGGCAGGGGAATCGCTTGAATTCAGGAGGTGGAGGTTGTAGTGAGCTGAGATCGCGCCACTGCACTCCAGCCTGGGTGACAAGAGTGAGACTCCGTCTCAAAAAAAAGAAAAAAAAAATGTAGATCCAGAATCCAATTAGATTCAGTTCTGGCACAACCCCATGGCAGGAGCCAGTCAGAAAACACCTCCCAGCATCGCTTCATTGCAAGATCCAAGAGGATCACATCTTATTACCCTATGCTTCTAAAACTCAACTGAACTACCAGCTCTAGGAGGGAGATTTGAGTGCTTCTTCCTGGCTCCTTGCTAGCCAGCCCAGTCATGATAACGCTTCTTTTTCATCAAAAGCCAGCTCCATGGTATTGGTCTCTATGCACCTTGGGCAGCAAGCCAATGACTGCTTGCTGGGTGACACTATGAACATTGTATACCAATTTTGCCTGGACACATGCTGTCATTCTTCCTGACAACATACCTTGGAAACAGAATTCCTGAGTCACGCATTAAGTGTATGTTGAACTTTCTAAGAAACTACCAAACTGTTACATTCCCACCAGCAATGTGCAAGGATTCTGGTTTCCGCATATCCTTGTCAACACTTGGATGGTCAATCTTTTTAATTTTAGCCATTCTCGTGGTTGCTATTATGGCTTTAATTTGCATTTCCCTAATGACTGAGTGGCTGCTTAGTTTAGTGTTCAGCCAGTGATTTGGGCAGAGATTGTGCCCAGCCACCTTGTACCTGTAAGGCTTCCACCGCCTGCGGAATCAACAGTCTGTGCATGGAAGGCAGCATTCAAAGTTGTACCCAGATTTCAAGCCTCTCCTGGCTTTCACTTTTTGCTGGGCTCTACTGAGTATCTCCTGGGCATGCAAAGTTTAGCTGTCTGCTACAGATGGCTGGAGAGCCATGTTAGCCCTCTACAGGTCTCTCAAATCTAGGATCTCCTTGTTAAATTTCTGGGTGGCCTCCAACTAGCAAATTAAAGACTTGAAGTAGCAAACCTGTGGGTTTTTCATTATGAACTGATTTTGCCACTTTTAGCCAGCAAAGCTGTGATTTCTTAACCCCAACCCTTACCCACACTTCAGACTGAGTCCATCATGTCTGATAAACCAGCAGTCTGACAACTCAGATAGTGGGCAGAAAGACAGAAGCAGCCCCGCACGAGAAGGCCACACCCCTACTGTTCATACCCAAAGATCCAGTGTTTCAATAATGCCTCTCAATTTATTATCTGCCTTTTTGGTCAGTTTCCAGTGCCCAGAAATGACCATTTTGGACAATCTTGTCCAGTGTTACACCTGTTTCATTCAGAAAGAAAATCACCTGTCTTCTTCACATCACCATCAAGGGATGTGATTTGGCTACTCATTTAACTTCTCAATTTTCCACAGCCTAAAGATGATAATATAAAAATAAAGTATGACTGTAATTTAATTCCAAATATCAAATATAGAAATGGTCTCCAAGTCTGATAGAAAACTTAACATCAGAACGTGAATATTTTCTATTAAGAGAGTGGCTCTTCCACATAATACCAGCAAGCTAACATTCTATTAAAGTACCAAAATAGCCAGATGTTCCGTAACTTTGAGACTCCTAGAAGGTAAACTGATTGATCGCTTGGACCTCAGCTGTGGCTTGACCGCAAAACTCCAAGATTGCCCAAATCGGATCGATTCTGTAGTGTCATTAACAAAGTCAGACATAGGCAAAAAGCAAATTCTTGCAGTTCTATTAGTATGATTATGTATTTCAGATATTCCCAGCCCAGATTTTGTCACATTATATTTTCTCCCGTTATTCCAAAGGCTATCACAAAATCCTCAAGTATAATTTAGTTTTAACATTAGTTCATATTTATATAATACAGTGCTGTATAATTGACTAAGCCCCTTCATCTACTAGCTCAACTGATCCTCACAAAAACCTCCTGTGGCCGGTAGAGCAGCTATGATTCTCATGTAATACCTGCTGGAACCAAACAGAGGGATTAAGTGTTCCACATAGCCAGGAAATCAGATCTAAAATCCAGTCACTCTGGCAATATTTCATTTTGTGCGGCACTGGGTACTGTCTCTGCCTCAATTTCTTCAAATGTTTCAATAACTTCCTCAAGAGTAAGGAAAAGAAATTAGCCCCCAAACATCAGCTTTTTCAACACTTTCAGTTGAGGAGAACTTGTCTTAACGTTTGTTACCTTAAAATTTTTAATTCCCGGAAGGTGAATGCAGACACGGAGCAAGAAGAAACCAAATTTCATAACAATTGCAAAAGCCACCTTTAACATACTCAATGCCAACCTCTGCATTCTCTCTCTCTCTCTCCCCTCCCAGCCCCTCCCACTCCTCTGCCTTTTCCACAGCCCGGTTCTATGAAGCCGTCTCAGGAGGGAGGCACTACACGTCCACACCTAGCACACGCAGGCTGTGGTGGTCTTCAGTGTCATCAATCTGGTAGACGATTTCAGAAAAATAACTTGCAATCTCTCTAACACATGCATTGGGAGAAACATGTAATTTCTCTCATCTTGAAACAACAAAACCAGAATTTTCCTGGACTCTTCTGGGCTTCAAAAGAGAGTCTGACTAGACTCACTCTTTGATCCAGTTCCACCAATTCTCCCTCGAATCTCCTCCACTTTGGCTTTTGTCTCTGCCATTTCACTGAAACCACTTGCCAAGGTCACTAACTTCCTCCTCATTGCTGAATCTTCTGATCGATGTTCAGCTGGCGTCTTACCTGACCCATCAGCAGCATCTAACGACGTGGGTTACTACGGCTTCCCTTAGTGTCTAGAGAACCACGATTTATACCTTCCTATCTGTTCCTCAATCTGCCTTGCTTACTCCATGGGACCAGGAGAGGCCCCAGACCACTCTTCTCACTCCCTTGGTGGCCTCAATCTTTCTTGTGATTTTGAACAACAGTTCAATGCTCATTTTTTAAATTTTAAATTAAAGGCTTTAAATTTGCCTTTTTAATCCTGACCTCCCACTGAAGTCCAGATTCTACCTACATGAGCTTTCTGCTTAGATGTCTAAAGAGGAATCTCAAATTTAATGTGCTTAAAACTGCGCTCCTAGTACTGCTTCCAATCGGTTCCTCCACAATCCCCCCCAAATCTCAGCAAAGGCACCTCCACTTTCAGTTGTTCAAGCTGAAAACTGTGGAGTCTTCCCTGACACCTCTTTTTGTCTCTCATCCCATATCTAACTTCACAACAACATATGACTAGAATTCCATCGTTTCTCATCACATCCCTTGCTTACGGTCTCAGGCACCTCGGTTTCTCAGCTGGGTCACTGCAGTAGCTTCATTGGGTCTCTCTGCTTCTACCCTTGCAAACACCCCCACCCCAAGCCCAGAGTATTCAAATCACATTAGCTTCAGTAGAAAGATCACGTTCCTTTTCTCCTTAAAATCCACCAGTTCCTTTTCATCTCACTGGAAGCCAAAACCCACACAATAATCACTATTCACACTGTTACCAGAAAGGGGGCCCCATCCAGACCCCAAGAGAGGGTTCTTGGATCTCATGCAAGAAAGAATTTGAGGCAAGTCCATACATTGAAAGTAAGTTCATTTTGAAAGCAAAAGAATAAAAGAATGGCTACTCTATCGACAGAGCAGCCCTGACGGCTGCTGGTTGCCCTCCCCGCTTTTTGTTTCGAGGCGAGGTTTCGCTCTTGTTGCCCATGATGGAGTGCAGTGGCGCGATCTCTGCTCACCGCAACCTCTGCCTCCTGGGTTCAAGTGATTCTTCTGCCTCAGCCTCCCAAGTAGCTGGGATTACAGGCGGATGACACTACACCTGGCTAGATTTTCGTATTTTTAGCAGAGACAGGGTTTCACCATGTTGGCCAGGCTGGTCTCAAGCTCCTGACCTAAGGTGAGCCACCTGCCTCGGCCTCCAAAAGTGCTGGGATTATAGGCGTCAGCCACCACGCCCGGCCTGGTTGCCCATGTTTATGGTTATTTCTTGATTGTATGATAAACAAGGGGTGGATTACTTATGCCTCCCCTTTTTAGACCATATGGGGTACCTTCCTGACTGTCATGGCATTTGTAAACTGTCGTGGAGCTGGTGGGAGTGTGGCAGTAAGGATGACCAGAGGTCACGCTTGTCCCCATCTTGGTTTGGGTGGGTTTTGAGCGGCCACTTCACTGCGGCCTGTTTTATCAGCAAAGTCTTTATGAGCTGTTATCTTGTGCTGACCTCCTGTCTCATCCTGTGACTTAGAATGCCTAACTGTCTGGGAATGCAGCCCAGAAGGTCTCAGCCTTATTTTATCCAGCCCCTATTCAAGATGGAGTTGCTCTGGTTTAAATGCCTCTGACAACATGACATCACCATCCATATCCTCTCATCTGCCTCTTTTCCCTTTACTCACTCCACTCCATTCACCAGCCTCCTTCTACTTTCAAACAAGCCAAGCATGCTTCTGCCTCAAGGTCTTTACATTTACTATCCTCTCTGCCTACAATACTTCCCCCAAACACCAACAGAGCCCTTTCCAACAACTTGTTCACAACTTCTCACTGAGGCTTTCCCCGAACATCTCTTTACCAGTGAACTCTTCAGCCCTTACCCTTACCTGCCTTACGTTCCTCCAAAGCACTGACTGCCCTCTCATATACTACATATTGTGCTTTTATTTGTTCTTAGTCCGTGTCTTCCTGCTAGAATGTTACTTCCATGAAGGCAGAGTTTCATTCATTTGTTAACTACTATATCATCAACACCTAGAATACTGTCTGACACATGGTAATAAATATCTGATGAATCAAAGAATCATGTAACAATACAAATGTGTATGAACTGATTCATATGAAGACTAGAAAGTTCAAGAACCATAGAATGCTAGGTACTGGATGACTAAATGTTGACTGCATATGATGACATAGATATGTTAAGCTACAATTTTAAATTTTCTAGCAGTCCCATAAAAAAAGTAAAAGAAAACAAATATTAATTGTAATAACATGCTTTAATTCAATATATCCAAAATATTATCATTTCAACATGTGAGTCATAGATAACTTACTAATATTTTAGTCCTTCATATTAAGTTTTTGAAATATGATGTGTATTTTCTGCAGAGAACATTGCCCTTAGTACTACTCATATTTCAAACGTCCAATAGCTACATGGGACCAGTTGCTACCATATTGGACAGCACAGATTTTGACCAAAATTAAATAATCCCACTGCAGTGGAGAATATCTTGCAGATTTATTCATTATTTTTAGTTTAAGAATACCAAACAAGGCCCTGGTACAACCTCATGGTTTACTAGTTTTGTTAAAACAGTTTCAAAGGATGTCATACAAGGAGTAATAGCTCGTATTCTGAGAAATCATTTGTTTTCAAGATAACTGACTGAACTCCTAAAACACTTTAAACTTCATTCAGGTGTTTTGATTAGGAAGCATGAAAGCCATTCTTCCCTAGTCTGTTTGAGAAACCAAGTTAAATCCAGAGAGATTTTGTGATCTTATCTAAATTAGAATCAGGAAAATCATTATTTTCAAATAGAAAAACTTATTAAGATTCTATTTCCACTAAACCAGTATTTATTTCAAATCAACCAAAATGCATCCTGCATTAAAAGACAATTTTATATACAGCTGCATTTAAAAAAAGTATTAACAGTTGCTTTACTAATTTTTTTTTTGCATTTTATAATGTAAAAGTGAAATAAAGCACTAAGGAGAATGCTTTGAGATTTTTGTTTGTTTTGAGACACAGCCTCTGTCACCCAGGCTATAGTGCAGAGGCACAGTCTCCACTCACTGCAACCACCACCTCCCAGATTCAAG